CTTATCTTGTTTGTAAGTATCTTGTTCCCCAGCGATCGTGGATTGCAAATGCTTAAGACCCAGGACCTGCAGTGCTGGGTGTTCCTTGCCTCCTCCCTCTGTCCTCTGAGGGGGGCTCACCCACCCCCCCCCCAAGCTCGTACAGCAGCCAGCTGCCTGGATGCTCCTAAACCTTAGAACAGCCCATCTGCCTGCCAAGACTCGTAACTAAAAAGACTTCTTTAGGCTCGTTTACGTCCCTCAGTCTCCCACTCAGTTCTCCACAAAGTGAGTCCTTAACCTTGCAGTTTGTCTGCACCCAGAAAATACACAGAGATGTTAGAGTAAAGAAAAAAAAAGAGTAAAAAGAAAGAAAGAAAGAAAGAAAGAAAGAAAGAAAGAAAGAAAACAACAAATAAGCAAAGGAAAGCAAAAACTTTGTGTTTAAAAGGAGAAACCGTTTTTTTTTTTTTTTTTTTTTTTTTTTTTTTTTTTTTTAAGTAACTCTGTTTTTAAGGGGAAAAGCGGGGTAGTTTAATCCTCTAGGGTGGGGAATCAGGTTTCCTTACTGGGACGGGGATGGCGAGATAATTACATCAGGGGCTCCCAGGTACCCCGAGGCTCTGGAGTATGGGAGAGGATCTAGGATTTCCTTTTGGTGACTGGTGTTTAAGGCTTTTTAGATGATGCGTCCATAGTCCCCAGTCACTTTGGGGCTGAATCTCAGCTTGCTGAGACTGGGTGATCGCTCTCAGTGGCCTCTTATTTGGGACTTTTCAGCACATTCTCATAGGTCTATTGCTCATCTTACATCTTTATAGGTTATTTAAACAGCATTTATGCTGAGGAAAGTAACAGAGGTGAGGAAAATGCATATAGACATTTAAAACTCAAAATCCCTTCCCTTATTCTCCCCCCACCAAACAGCAAGAACGATCTGAAACCTACAATTAATGCCTGATAGTCAAGGTGAAATTAACATTAACCAATACATTTATTAAAGTCTTTAAAACTTACAATTTTGCATCATTTCTTTCTGCCGCTGATTTTGCACATACACTAAGTCAGGTATTAGGTAATTGACTCGTTTTAACTGAATAGCAAAAGCCAGAGAACCCAAGAGGTGTTTAATAAACACTTGTTGACTGATTGATGGAATATACTGACCTAGCATCTTCTAGACAATGCATTCTTTGTCAGAGCGCTAAGGTAAGTCGGTGGGTCCACTTTTATTACCAAGCGTTTCTCCCGCGTCAAGGGGAGCGGGCCAGCTGAAAGTTTGTCCACTGGCCTGTGGCTCAGGTTCACAAAAGAAACCCTGGGGCTTTACCTTTCACACCTGTTTTCACTCTCACAACAGAAGCGGGACTAGCCTCGGCTGCCGAGCCTTCGGAGGCACCGACCTGATGCAGACCCAGCCTTGACGCCACCCTGGACTGCTTACTATGAATGTTATCACAGCTGCAACCCCCAGTTTGCACACAAAACCTAAGAAACAACTGAGCTGAGTAAAAAAAAACAGGAGAAAAACACTGTATTGTAACTAATTTAAAAGCCCAGCTACGTCTTCCTGACTCGTTCTTCTGAGAGAAACCAACGCGTGAAATATCAAGTCCCTGGCTCCACGCGGCCAAGCGCAACTCCGCCCATCTGGTTCGGTGGACCATTCCAGAAAGGACGCCTGGGCGCATGACCCCTTTGCTTCTCTCTGCAGCCCCTTCCTCTCTTTCCTTGCCAGGTCTTCGGGCAGACTTTGTGAAAGGACCAAAGTCCTTTACCCTGTTCCTCTCTGTCCCTGGGGTTCCGTGCTCACCTGGCCTGACTCTGGACCTACAGCTATGCCCTGACTTTGCTACTGGCTGATGGTTTACACCCCCACCTTTCTCTAATGCCCCTCGCCTCCACTGCCCCCGCTCTCTCGAGCTGCCAGATTTCTCTGCCTGATATGACACAGTAACTGTTTCTGACCCTGTCAGCTCTCAGGTGCAGCTGTACCCAGAGATATTCAAGGCCCCCAAACTATGTTTTCAACAAACATGCCCCACAGTTTTATCACCTTTCATCAGTCACAATCCTTTACCCCTTGCAACGTTACCAACCTGCTTCTATGCTGACGATACGTTTTGTCGTTTTGGAAAATGTAAACAAATCAATATGCCTTCTGCCCCCATCTTCTCTCATTATCAGTAAGAAAGTGCAGGAGGAAAGGGAGAGGAAGGGCACGAGAGACTGAGCCTGGTCAGTCTATCGTCAGGAATTCTCTCAAACTCAAATCTAAATGCTTTTCTCCCAATTCTCGCTCGGAATCTTGAGTGTCTGATCTTGAATTTCGATGGCGCTCCCCCGAGCGCGGGACTGGCTGGTGGCCATGTGATATTGATTTGTTTTCGCCATAGCAACAGCAAATTAAAACAACTAGCAGAGAGGAGGCAGGCCGGTAACCAGTAAAGCTACATAACCAGTATATTTTGCAAGCGTATTTTCCTCTTTTCCTCATATTCTCTCTCTTATTCAATGTACTCTTGCAAATTTAATGCAAAGTCAAAGCAAAAATAGCACTAAATGCTTTGGGCACTACAAGGCCTACGTCTGAAATAGTCTGGTTGGCACAGCTTCTGGTATATTGCATGAGATCGATGGAGAAAATGCAAACAGCAATGCTCTGAATTCCTTGGAAATTTTGTTTGCTGGTTTAAGGATAAATAGCCCTAGAAAATTGACCTGAGCACACAGTAGAGTGAAGTGTTCTGGAAATATGACTATTTATCTTAATACCCTAAGGCATTTGCCAACCGTTTCATTAATACGGAGGTTTTATCCCTTTGTACTTTAAATAGCTCATTGTGGCAAGAGACAGATGACTTCTTTTTATTTTATTTTATTTTATTTTTTTATTTTATTTATTTTTTTGGTACAAGGTCAAGGCCTCTCAAAATGAATGCTGGAATTATGAGAGAAAAGTGTAGCAAGTATTACTCCGTTCTATTAAGAGAGAGAAAAACGAAGGTGGGTGCCTGCTTAGGGCTACAAGAGCAGCTGGAAAGGGAATGTAAACTAGAACCAGGAACTCCCCAGAACTCCGGTCTGTTCGTCTGGAAATTCTCCCTTCAGAGGCCCCACATTAAACGCTACCTTCCCCTGGTCTCTCCGACCCAGGTTACCACCTGTGACACAGATTAACAGCCTGCAGTACCGGACTTCCCTTCCTTCAGCCCGTCTGCACCAGGCATGGTGCTCTTTATGTAAAAGCAGCTGTTCCCACCATCACGGCCAGCCACGAACTTGGTGGCATAACCTTGGTCCTACACAGCGGCTCCGGGGGAACTGGGAATGAGGCCACAGGCACTATCCACCCAGGTGGCAGTACTGGGCTGTGCCAGGCGAAGTTGGGCCAGAAGCAAAGCCCGTGCTCCGCTCCCCACTGCTCTTCGCCAGCACGGCCAGAACCCTGCAGAGAACCTGCTCGGACCCGCCCGACGTGAGGCAGGTAGGAGATGCCCTATTTACGCTGGAGACGGGTTTAGGGTTTAGAAAGGACGGGCTAAAATATGAAGGCATAACTCAAGACCTGCCAAGTGAGAGTCAGAATGTTTCTGGCCAGGACGTAAAGCAATATTCCTCTCCACGAGCCTGAATAAAAGAACACCCAGCAGAAATAGTTGGGGGATGACGTCAGAAGTTCTGGGCTAGTGTCCTGCACTTCTCCTTGAAAGTAAAAACAGTGGGTCTGGAAGAATCTACGTGGCATTGCCCTTATTTAAATGAATATTTGAACTGCTCCTCAGAAAACAGGCAGGATACCTGAAGAAACTTCATCTTATTTAAAGATTATAAGCATGCCCTCCTTTTTTCCCCCACTTTATTAGCTCCCCAATGCACATATTACCAAATTAACAAATTGTCTTTCCACTTAACCTTTGTCTTTTAAAAGGACAGTAATGTTTCTCGAAGAGCATTCACGGTAGTAGTGGTTAGGCAAGTCAGATTTTTTTCTTCGCTTCAGTGCTTGCTAACTATTCTAAAAATGTTACACATTTATTGTAAACACATGCTTCCGAGGCCTAACAAAAAAGCACAGTTTCCTCATGCCTGGCAGAAATTTAAAACGGAAAAGGGCAGAAAGAATTCTTTAACAAATATATCATTTCCTTCTCTTGGGCCAAGTGTGTTAAAAATAAATCTCCATCATTTCTCCCTGCTGCTTCTCGGCAAGAAAGTTGATATGGTTCGGCATAGTGAAGACACAGCTTTAAAAGCTAGCCTGCCCTCATTAAATTATTCTGCTGGCTGTGTGTTCTCATTAAAAATGCATAAAGATCAGATAATTGCAGTAAGCATTATTAACCCAGCTTTACTTTTGAATATAATGGTTCCACTTTTAAGCTGGAAACAAAGGCTCAGAAAAAGAAATGTAAACATTGAACTACAGTATCGAAAACTTGTCAGAAAGCTACCTCTTGCTGGCTTGTTAAAAATGTGCTTTTGAAACTCAAAGCCGTGGCATTATAGGGCTAGGTGGGTCCCTAATTTCTAACACATAGACGTATTTTTGGCTAAACATTCAACCGATGGTTATTTACTATGAAGTTTTCCTTTTCTTCTTCATTACGAGTCCGTTTTCAAATAGCAGGATCAACGTAAACTTTATTTATTCGGGAGTGAACCGGGGCAGTAATGAAAATTTTCTAGAACAAGAAAATAAGAACGCTCCCAGGAATTCACAGTTTTTGTTGAGTAATAAAATGGATCTCTTCTTTGAAATAAACACTCGTTTTATGCCTCACCCCAGTCAGGCGGCACAGATTCAAGCTTTTGCCGTTTCTTTCTTTCTTTCTTTTTTTTTTTTTTTCCTCAAATCAAAATGTTACGTAAAACTCCAGGGTCCCCGGCAAGTGTTACATTTGAATTAGTGGAATCCGGTTTCCCTGGCTTCCCTAAGCAACACACATGGAATGCACCATATACTGCAGCAAACTCTTTAAACATTCAAAAAAAAAAAGGGGGGGGGGTGATTCTCTTACCTTGTTTAGCTCTGCCTCTTTTTCCCTTTTACAGTAACCCCGGGAACATCTGGCAGAATCCAGCGGCCGAGGCTTCTCCGCTGCATCATGAGGCAGAAATTTCCATGTAAATAGTCCTCATTCCCTGTGTATTGTACTCTGGGAGCCGTCTGCCGTATCTGGAAAATTTTGCCTTCAGATGATGAAGCAAAGACAGTCTAAACTCTGTTGCTGTAAAGCTGCAGCCCTTCCTCCCCACAAATCCCTCCCAGCCGGGGGCAGCCAATCCCCGGGCAGCTCGTCAGCCCTCCTCGTCCGAAACTGGCTCTTATAGGATGAGTGACACAGCAGCACAGCACTTGCGGTGTGTGAAAACAGTGCGTCCATACTGATGAAAGAGGAATTTCCCTCTCCGAAGAAAGCAATCATAGCACCAAGACAAAGTGGCACATAATTGGCAGAGCCCGGAGAGGGGTAGCTGGAGAAAACACCCTCCAAGACAGCCAGCCCAGAGCCTGGGACTGCGCTGTAAAGACTTTCGACGATACCAACTCCGCAGATTCAAAAAAGAAAACCCAGGTTGTGCAGGAGAAGCTGAAGTCCTTCTCCCATCTGACAAAGCATGGGTTTGGTTTTTGGGTTTTGGTTTTTGAAAAGGGAGAAACAATTCAGCGTCTGCCGTGGAAATTAATACCTGACAGGGAGGGCATTTACAGCTGATTCCTATTAGTGAGGGAGAATGTGTGAGCCCAAGTGCATATTCAAAATCAAAACATGCTTAACCCCCTTGCACACAGTTTTCCTGTAGAACATCTGTTACTGCAGCGGTTAATTACTGTGGCTCGTACAGCTTTCATCTAAGTTTTCCAGCCACTGGGGTCTTCAATTAGGGAATTCTGAACAATAAAATTGATATCTACACATTATCCTTTTGTCCTGCTGGCAGGCCGCGGCGAGACGACTAGGTGTGCTTTCACCTAATCCTAAGGTACCTCAGGTACCATTTGATAAATACGGTGCCTTGGCCCATATCGTCATCAGTGAAGCAGTGGTTACAGGAGGATATTCACAGCTGAACACACACGGCACATGATCCAAGGGGCACCATCGGGTGCCATTCCCCAAAGGTTGTCTAGACGTGCCGAAGTTCCCTGAGATAAAGCAGGAAAAGAGAAACAGAAAGTTTAGTATGGGTTATTTATTCTTCCCCCCAGTCAACAGTGCTCCTGCAAGCTCTGAAAAAACTCATATGGCATTTGGAAAACACAAAAAGAAGCATACATTTTCCTTCCACTTAAACACAACATTCTGAATTTAAAAAATGAAGTGTCATGATTCCAAGACCAGACCAAAGCAGGAACAAAGCCCCATTCATCCGGAAGGTTGAACCAACGCACTATTGTTTATAAGCAACTGTTCAGTGCATCTGTAATGAAGTACCAGTTGGGGTGGGATGTAATGGTTTCCCTTGATTTTGCTAACTGCAGTTTAAAAACACAGCATTTCCTGGGATTTCTAGGCTATGTCTTCAATAGAATATCATACGTTATTCCCCTCTGATTTTATACTTACAATAATAATTACAACAGTTTTCATCCCAGTGTAAATCCGTCACGTATAACTTTTAGGTTTCTGTCTACTACGATCTTTTTCTGAAAATTTAAATAATCTCTACGGTCAAACAGGTAGAAAATTATTTTTAGCTAGCGATACACTCAGTATTATACTGCACGCAAATGGACAACCATAGGTTGTCTCCTCTTTCCCATCTCTCTGGTTCTGCCTATGAAATTACCATTCCCTTCATTTCGTTCCTGAAATTCGAGTCATCTTCGACTCGTTCTCCTACTCTCATTCAATGAAATGAGGTCTTGTTGATTTTTCCTCCTGGCTAGTGAAGAAGTCTGATCTGATACCTGGATAATATAAATGCCAGTAAGTTGGCCTCTGGGATCAAGACTCCCTACGTTCAAGAAGATTTCCTGTTGCCAGACAGGTTTTCCCATCATGAAAAGTCATGCTCCTCTCATATTCAATGCCTCCTTTCTTAAAATCCAAATCACAGACTCTCAACGTTCTTCATAACCTGCCCCCCCCTTTCTAACTCAACTTTTTCTACACTGTTTTCCTAAGCGAACCTCCTGATGGAGGCATGCTCATTTCTCCGGGACCTGGCTCCCACAGTCCATCCCCAGACCTGACTCCCAAGGGCTTCACTTAACAAAATCTTATCCAACCTTTAGACCTCAGCTTGCATCCTCATTTGTCTGTTATGGCTTCTCTGTTCACATTGTCTTCTCTGACGTTCTCCTCCTCTGAAAGCGTTCTGCGCTGTTCGTTTTACCAGGCCATTAAACCCCTAATGGTGAGCTGATCTCCCCACCTCGGAAGGCAAGGTTTGCCTAGTATATCAAGATAATGTACTTAAAACATCTATACGGTGGCTGACACATGACAAATGTTCACTAAACAATGGCCACTCTTACTGTTCTTTCTACATTTTCGTCGTATCTAGTGAGGTGCCATGAGTAAACTTGCTGATTTCATGATTCCTATCTCGAGAATTGCTATCATATCCATCCAATTGCACAAGCCAAAAACCTGGTGGTCATTCTTGATGCTCTCTCCCCAACTGCCATGCGAAAGCCATTATCAAAGCCTGTTAGGTTCAGTGCTAAATGTTTAGAAATGTTTCCCTTCGTTCCATCTCTGCCAATGCAGTTTTGTCCAAGGTATCTGTGTCTTTCACCACGACTATTGAAACAGACTCTTAGCTGGCCTCCTGCATATTTTCTTGACCCCTTCAGTCCCTTTTCCACACATCAGTCAAAATAAGAATTCACTTGAAAGTAGAATTCTGATGATTCTACATTCTTCTCTCTGCTCAAAATCTTTGCGATGGACTGAACTGCGTCTCCCCCAAATTCCTGTGTTGAATCCCTCAGCCCCAACGTGATGGTATTTGGAGATGAGGTCTTTGGGAGACAATTAGGTCATGAGGGTGGAACTCTCATGATGGAATTAGTGCCCTTAAAAGATAAGACATCAGGGAGAGAGATCGTTTCTCTCTCACCCAAGTGACAACACAGCCAGAAGCAGGCCGTCACCAGAACCTGACACACTGCAAGCTGATTTCAGACTTCTGGCCTCCAGAACCCCAAGAAAGCACATTTATGTGGTTTAAGCCACTCAGTCTACGTAGCATTTTGTTATGGCAGCTTGGGCTTGGGAACAAGACAAGAGTCCTCAACATGGCCTACAAGGTCCCATGATATCCAGCCCTAACCTACCTCTCTAGCCTAATCAGAAGCCTTTTCTTCAGGGAACTCTTCCCTGACCCCCAGGATGAGTTTAGGTCCCACCTGTTGTTTTTCTCTCACGGCCTGTGCACTCCAGAGCAGTGCTTCTCAAATTTAATGTGCGTGCAAATCCCCCAGGGATCTTGTTAAAATTCTCTCTCAGTAGTTCTTGGGTGAATACTGAGATTCTGCTTTGCTAACAAGGTCCCAGGTGATGCTGATGCTTCTGGTCCATGGACTACTCTTTGAGTAGCAAGATTTTATAGATGTGTTTACTTTATAGAACTTTTTATAGGGTATGGAGATACATTTGTTTGGTAAATTACTGAAGATCTACTCAACCAGCTTATCAGCGTTAGAAGTCACTGTTGTTTCTCCAGCCTCTCATCTAGTATGTGCCTGGCACCTGACAGGAAGTGCCCAGTAATAAATATGTGTTTTGAATTAATGAATTGATCAATACAACATACTGCAGATCCAAGCTGGACTTTTCTTTCTTTTTCTTTTTCTCCCCTCACCCTTCCTCTTCTCTTCCTCCTTCCATCTGTAACTCAATATTGGAAGCCGTGAAACTCTGCAAAGAAAATTAATGTTTATTGAAGTCATGATATACTAAATAGAAGGGAGAATGATTGAGAAGCCAAATAGAACAAGTGCCAAGAAAGTGTGACCTATGTCAAAGTAAAGAAGGTGGACACAGGACTCAAAACCAAAGACATTTGTCCAACAGAAGTTGTCAGTTATCTCCTTCAGGTTGATGTATTCAAGATCTATAACTCCATCCCTTTCTCTTAACCTCTAGGCCCAATTTGTCACTTGAATGGACCAGAGATAACTCATTTTCACCTTGTCTGTAACTAAAATCATTGTTTATTTTATTGAAGTACATTTCTCTTACATTTCCCACTTGAGTGAATGGAGCCACAACCGCCTTTGATGCCCACCTCTGTCTCAACATCAATATCCAAACACTCCCCCATTCTATAAATTCCTATCTCTTGAATTTGCCCATGTCTCCCCATCTTCACTGCTGTGTCCCTAATTTAAGTCCTCATCCTCTTCTGTCCACTCTTCACCTCTCCGCTTCCAATCTTGGCCCTCACTTATCATGCTATTATCTACATAAAGTCACTGGGGGGTGCCTCTTATCTTCATGTGAATCCCTTGCCTATTTCTTGAATATATGCTCTCACCACTCCTCTTGAATTCACTTCCCTCCTACTTAATACCCAGCACTAATTACTAAACTAGTTTTATCCCTAAAATGTGTTATGCCCTTTCTAATTTACAGCCTGGATTTCTTCTGCATGAAACATCTCTGAATCCTTTCATACCCGTCTATCATCTTTCCGTCCATCAATACCCAAAATACACATCATCTCTTCCAGGAAGCCTTCCCTGACCACCATGGCTTCCTTGGCCCCTTGACATTATATTCACCATAGCAATCATCAAGATCTGTTGTAAATATGGTTTGCTTGTTTATGTACCCCACTAGTCTCTGTAAGAGAAGAACTCATGTCTTTCTTGTTCATCAGTTTATCTCCAGGACCTAGAACATGCAGTGATATAATAGCAGACACATACTAAATTGTTGATGAATGGTTAAATGGATAAACTTAAAAATAACACTAGTAATAAAATGGCAAAGAGAAATGCAGGGCTCAAACAAAAAATTGATAGTGAAGGCATAGGAACAATGGACATTATATATATATATGGACATTATATTTATACACACACACACACACACACATATACATATATTTAAAAAAGAAAGTTAGGCTAGAGAAGAGAAAGGAGAAATAATATAAAAACCAAAAGGCACAGTGCAGTTATGAGATCACTTCCTTTGTTGAAGGTACCAAAGTTAGCAAGCTCATAGGCAAGAGGAAAATTATCTCTGATGATGTTCAAAATGGAGGTGATTTCCATAGAAACA